TATTCATCTTAAATCCCTCTGCTGGTAAGAGCGGTAAATGAACGTCAGACAGATGAGCAGTGGTATGTTTGGCAGCAGGAACCTGGATGCGCAGGACATACAGGCAAACCTCTCCAAATCACTGCTAGAACAATTGTTTCCATCCACCTATTTTCATACAAGGCTGACAGCTCAGGTACATTTTTACAGGCTTAATTTTTGCTAAAGGTAAATTTCCCCGCGGCTGCAGCGATACCCCTTCGCGCCACCACCCCACTGCGTAACACCAGCGCTCCCCACGGCTCCAAAACCCACCTCACCGCCGCGGCAAAGCAAAGCTCCTCAACGTTTAAACTTGCTGCCAAGGCGGCCGAGGCCAAAGCAGCCCGTGAGAGCCCGGGCTGGGGCTCAGGGCCCCCCGACCTGCTGCGCATCGAGCCACATCCACCGGGGCGCAAAAAAACCGTCCCCCCGGCCTGCCCCTGCCAACGCGGCGGCAGCTCTTTTGCTCGGGGGAATTCGGCACCCGCAGCTCCCCGTGCCTCCAGCATCAGTCGGCCATACAGCCAAGACATACCCACCTCTAACACCCTGCCTTACTAGGGGTGCGGGAAGTCAAAATAACTGCCTGCAAATCTCTACGTTTCATTTTGCTCTACTTTCACATTCTAAATTTTTTTCTAAGAACAAGCACTCTACGATACAAAAAATAAAAAATAAAAAATCAGGCAGCTCCCCGTGCCTCCAGCATCAGTCGGCCATACAGCCAAGACATACCCACCTCTAACACCCTGCCTTACTAGGGGTGCGGGAAGTCAAAATAACTGCCTGCAAATCTCTACGTTTCATTTTGCTCTACTTTCACATTCTAAATTTTTTTCTAAGAACAAGCACTCTACGATACAAAAAATAAAAAATAAAAAATCAGTGTAGCAGATACTGTCAAAGTAAACCATCCATGCCTCCCCGTAGGTCTGGCTATGAGCAACGTGGCAAGTTTTTGGCAAAGCTTGCTTAATTTTTGAAAGATCAAGAAGTGAACAATTTTATATGCGACGGCGTTGGGAACACTGTATCGTAAGGAAAATCTAAATGCGTGAAATTAGAAGGCTACACGAATGTTACATTTATTCTGATTTTAAGTTTAAAGCACAAACCTCAAATCAAACTAGTAAGAAAAGATTCAGGCTCTCAAGAGACCATCCCAGCAAGCACACAGGATGCACGGGGATGAGGAATTCCAGACCGCCTTTATGCAGCTTTGGGGGCAAGAGGAGGGCGGTGGATGGTGTTCACCTTGACTCCAGCAAAGCTTCTGACACAATCTCACAGCGAAACTCGTGAGATAGGGTTTGACTCAGCAGACAATAAGGGTGGGTGGAACACTGTCTGGACCACCATGGGTGAAGTGTTTTGAGGACCGGTATGAAGTCCAGCCAGCGGGTAACTGCCAGGGGGTTCTCAGAGGTTTTTAGTGTTCCACATTTGCATTACTGACCTTGACTAGAGCACAGAGCTCACCTTCAGTAAGTGTGCAGCTGACGCCAGGCGAGGGGAAGCAGGTGACCTGCTTGAGGGCAGGGCTGCTGTCCCTCAGAGGGTCCTCGACAGGGTGACAGAAACCTCAGGACAGGAGGCACAAAGGCGATCGCACCCCGGCTCCGATAGCACAACCATCGCCAGCAGAGCAAGGGAAGCGAATATTCTCCTCCGCTCATCATCTGGGAGACCACGTCTGGAGTGCTCAGTCTAGTTTTGGGGCCCCCAGTACAAGAAATATCTCTGGCTGGATCAGATCCAGCTCAGGCAGCCAAAACTGCCACAGGGCTGGAGCACAAGGATGTACAAGGGAAGAGAGGATTTTATTCCCATCTTTATCCAGTGTAAGAGCAGAGGGAAGACAGAGGCAAGCTTCCTGCAGGTACGCTGAGGCCAGAGCTGAGGGGCACAACAGGGAACAAGTGAAATTTCAATTAGATATTAGGAGAAACTTTTTCACCATGAGGGCGATCAAACACTGAACCAGGGGCCCAGAGAAGCTGTGGGATTCCAGCTCTGGAGATCCTGAAGGCTTGACTCGTCAAGGCCCCGGTCACCTGATCTACATGGGCCCTGGAGGGGGCCAGAGAGCTCCACAGGTCCAAAGTGAACTGCTCTGTTGTAACAGTGATGGCCCCCAAAGCTGCATTCACTAACCAAAATGGTTTAGAAAAGAGATATTCAAAAACAAAACAAAACAAAACAAAACGTAACGTTCTCTGGTCTGATTTGCTGTATAATTACACCCACTGTTCTCTGTATGTGTTTTCTGAGTCACCACAGTTGAAGCTGCAGGAAGACTGAATTGGGAGAAGCCTGGCAGTAAGAGGAAACCAAAACCACCTCGCCCGCACTCGCCCAGGCTCTCCCGTCAGCCCCACGGCAGATCGCTCTCTTCCGAACCGCCGGGCAGCGGGGTTTGCTGGTGCAATCTACTCGGTGAGCAAGGACTGCCGCAGCACAGGGACTGCTCCGAGGGGATGCCGCTGCAAAGACAACACGCATCATCTCCTGCCCTTCCGCGGCTCTCAGCAGAAGCACACCCTGCCAGGGGAGGACCAGCAGTGCCTTTCAGAGAAGCCAAGGAGGACCTCAGAAAACACTCATACAGCTCGCACAACACACGAAATCACCGTCAGTGCTGACAACGCGCACTAAGACATGTTGCATCTTCGCTTTCTGTGAAACAGCTGTGGTGAAGATTTGCTGTCCTTGAACCGGGACCATTTGGTTTGGTACCAGAAGGAGGCCAACAACGGCTGAAGTTTAGAAACTGGGTGTCAGTGCCAATCACAGCTTCTGCCTCGTCAGCCTTGTCAGATGTGGTCAGAGCTACTGCTGGTGCTTGGTTCTTCCCTAGAAGAATTCAGCAGGGTGGAGTGACGTGTCGTGTTGTAACCTCTCACGCTCAGTAGAGCCATTACGTGGTGTTTTCAGCATACCAGTGACATCCAATCATCATTTCTCCTTTAACTGGGGAGAAAGTTCAGCGTCTCCACCTATGACTAGTTAAGACAGATCAGAGAAAGCTGGCTGGAAACCAATCCAGATAATGCCTGACACTGAGCGGGAGGCGGCTGCATGAGGCAACAGGCAGCCCCAGCCTTCTGCCTGCGAGAGCAGTACCTACTGTGTGTCACAATTAAGCTGACATTTACCTGTTAAATCAGAAACAGCGCAAGCCAAGTGTTTTCCACTCGTTATTAATTAACAGCTGAATCCCTTCTCTTCCAATGCAGATCTTCCAGCACCTTCCAAGACGGTTTGCAGGCCCTCTGCAGCCCCGCCGCGGGCTGCAGGCAGGGCTGCTCCGGGGAGGGCGCGCCTGCGCTACGACGGCGCCCGTCAGCGCCATGCCTGAGCAGAGCAGAGCACAGAGAAGGCAGCACCCCGCGCCCTGCCCGCGCCGGACGGCCGTCATCAGAGCTGAGCAAAACCTAAAGTGATGCCCGTGGTGTAAAAAGCCACAGTTCTGGGTCCCGCCTGTCGAAGGGGACATCATCTGTTCACTACACAGCGGAGAGCGGAGGGAGGTGAGCTGGGCTGTCCCATTCCCGCGCGGGACAGCAGGCAGGCCTATCTCTGTAAAAGAATTTGAATTTTCTGTAAAAGAATTTGATGCTCTGCTTACAATTTTTGGCACTTACTCGGGCAGAGTGTGCGGGAGAAGACCGAAGACTCGCGAGGTGACTAACAAATTCGCTCCCTAAGCTGTTTTCAGGGTGCCAGATGTTGGTTTAGCACCTACAGCTTTGGAGGCGCCTGGGAACTTGAACAGACTTCTGGCAGCACTACGCCTTCGCAGAAGGAACTCGAGTCACCAATGCTTCAAGCGCCTGATTTGGCGGTGGGGAGGGAAGACCTCAACCAGACGAGCAATTTTCAATCTTTTAACCATTTCGTTGCCTCTTGACTTCCTTCACTCTCTATACCTGAACTCTCCCCAGTGTCCTCTCTCTCCGGCAGCGCGTTCTTGACCCTAGCTTGGGAACACAGGCTCTAAAAGAAGTCAAGAATGCCATTGTTCTGTGATGAAGTGGAAAAGCTTATCTTAGCTCTGAAAGTCTATTTACAACTTCCCATTAATACACTTTCCTAGCAAGGAGTGCAACTACAATGTCTCTATTCTCTTCCTTGATTAGTCTAGTTATTCAGGAAACTCTGGCAGCTTAGCAACGGATTCTAATGACCTAGAAAACTTCAACACGCTAAAAAGCGGTATGTGTGGAACATAGAAGAGCTAAACTGGAGGAAAAAATAGTGCGGTGGACAAACAAAGTCTTCAGGTGCCATCAACAGATGCACCTCTACACACGTCACCTTGTACGGGCCTGCCGTTACAAAGGCATATCTGCCATCCGTAACCGTTGGCAAACAAAACTCTCATCTCCCAAACTGTTTTCATCCCTGTTTGTTCGGCTGCCCTCCTCTTATCCTTTAATTCTTAGGTTTTTAATTAAAGCTTTCACAGAAAACAAACCAAAAAGGCTCAAAACACAACCACCTTGAAACATGCAATACATTCCTGCATAATTTTTATGGGATGCGTTTAATACATAACACAAAATTATTTCCAATTCCCGTTACACTCTGGAATAGTTCTAATACCACTCTCGGTGACTTTGCTCCTTGACATATACAGCTCTTGTATTTACCATCTTTTTGTAAAAAAAAAAAAAATAAAAGACACTTGAATCCATTAAAAAAAAAATTATTTATGGGTGGGGCTTTTTTCTTTTTAGGGAAACACTAACTGTTTTTAAACAATTTCTGTGGAATAGATTAAGAATCACAGAATTTGAAACAAAAGGAAACCCCCATTATCCTCTTCACAGTGCCTAACTAGCCCCAGGGAGACACTCCTCCACTTTTTGGTGCAGCTGACCAGACAGAACTAGAGCACTCAGTATTTTTTGATTTTCAGTCTAACTGTGCATTAAATACGTGTGCATGTTTGCAGCCAGCCAAACCGAACACCTTACCTGCTCGTGCCTCATCAGCTCTATCATTTCCATAACACTGATAAAATGGTAGCAACGATCCGAGTGACCAACCACGGATGTAGGAAAAGGGCGATTCTGCCAAAGGCTCCATTCAGACAAGGAAAGCTCCCGAGTTGCCTTCTCCTCGTGCTTCTGCAGCTTGAAATACAGATTTCAAAGGAGATTTTAACCAAGAAATTGTCCAGCAAAACTAATGTCTGCTTCTCTGTCAGGGACCAGAAATACTCTGACCACAGAAAAGTATCTAAACATTATCACGAATACTTAAGTGGTTCAAATAAAAACAACTCCGTGCCTTGTGTCGTCACGGCTTTTCATGGAAAACAGGTTGTTTTAAGTGGTGAAACGGCACAAAAGCTCTGAGTTTTCTCTTTACATCAGAAAAGAGCTTGTAAAACTGGAGCTTGTCTTTCAGTAACACTTTTATAGTTACATGAACAAGGAACAAAAAAGCACCGTCACAATGCCATCACGAGTCCAGCATCCTGCGTGGAATACTTAGAAACAGGAACACAACTTAATGGATATCGAGAGACTTTTACTGTATCTTTAATTTACAGACCTAAACTTCAAAGACCCATCTCAAACATTTAACTCCTAAAGTCTTAACCTCAAAAACCTACATATAATTCTCAAAACTGCATTTTTAATACAGACTTCCTTCCAATTCACAGTTAACTTTGTCACTTAGGGCATCCTTTAGGCCTCACGTCAAAAGAAACATTGCATGTAGGTTAAACTCACTGGAGTCTCTTCCAGGTTTTCTAAGGTTTCAAACCGAATTTGCGGCAATACCGGTTCCTTCACTCCATCACTTTCCTTAATCCTGTAAAGTCTGTCCCATATTTCAAATTCCTCAGGCGACAGAGACCAGTTCTCATGACGGTGTGTTTGCTTTTGGCCTGCGGGGGGAAAACCGACGACAGGAAAATGTTATCTGCTGTAAGAAAAAGTACACACAGAATAGAAAAAGCCTTGTACGATACCAGTCCAAAGAAAAAAAAACACCTTCTCTGTGCCACCTGCAAAACCAGATACAGAGAATCTAATGTCAGAAACAGGTATCAAAACAGTGTTGCACGTGTTGTAATTACAGATAAATCTGTCTATTAAACAACTGTTTGGGGGGAAGGCATCATATAAACACAGACACAGACAGACCACCAGGTGTAAATGGAGAGGTACGTGTATACCAAGTACCTACAGCCCTGAAGGCAGCACAGCAAACAGGGAAACCGTACGGCTTGGAAGTCTAAATGTGCGTTTCAGACCTTGGGGAACGAACGGCAAATAAGTAAAAGTTGGGGTTTTTGAAGTTACTCTTCAAATACTGGAAAGCAACGTTCATTTGCTATGTCACAAATATTTGTTAGTCATTTTTTGAATCAGTCCCCTCTATTAAGGGCACGCAGATGAGTAAGAGGACAGAAACAGGAGTACTGTGAAAATTCCCCAGGAGCAGGGAAAGAAAAAAAAGGCTCATGAGTTTCGTTTAGACTCATAACTGCAAGTGGGAAGCACGGGGCATCTGTGAGCACCAACGCTGGGCAAAACCAAAGTAAGTGCTCACGCGGCAGCGACTGAAGACAAGGCCCTGGTGCTGTTTGGCTCCGAGCGAGCGTGCTCCAGGGACGAAGAGGAAACGGAGTAAATTTTGGCAGACTGACAGCAGGCCTCGATACCACCGCTATCCAAAAAAATGCCAGACCCCTCAAAACAGCTGTCGGTGCGGATAGCAACACTGGTTCTTTGGATGTCCCTTTAACAGCGTGTTAAGAATGTCACTGCTTTCAGCCCAGACCGATGAAGCTTGGAGAAAAACAATGAAGTTAATTTGAGAATCGCTCTGCAGACAGGATTTGGGATGAATCTGCAGCCAACACCCTATTCTAAATTAACGCCACGTGAGAGGAATCAGCCTGTATCTCTCAACCCTCTCAAGTTACAACTGCCAGAGACTGTGTCTCTGCAGGACGGTGTGACAATGTTCAGCAGAGACTCAAAACCAGACCCCTGAGAGTTCAGAGTACCAGGTTCAAGTCTTGTTCAGAAAAAGTCTTTCACAGCTGGAAAAAAACTAACCAGCACTGAAGTTTTTTAAGGCCACCCTTAAACAAACCCAGAAGATCAATACTGCTACTAAAATATTTATGACTTGAGTCCAGGAGATGTTACACTCCTTTATAGCTAACACACAGGTCAAGGACCCAGTGGAGCAGGAAAGGAGACAGACATGAAGGAAAAGAAAACTAGAACACTTATTGGAAAAGCCTATCTCACAGCCTTTCCCCTTGTTTACAAGAACAGGTAAGTATTAGATCTGCTCTAGGAGTTAACAGACAGCCCCCACACACCAGGTCAGAATATGCCCATCCCTGATCAGCATGGAGTCCTGGACAGCGTTGCCTGGACAAGGTGGAAAGGAAAGACCAGAAAGAGTCCTCGGTTGTAACCAAAACCCAACACCCTTGGTCAGTCCAAAGTGGTTTCTACTGTCTCACTGAAGGCTTACCTTCAGCACCAAGAAGCAAAAAGACGGCCCACCGAGGAACCAAGAAGGCATTTTCAAACAGCAAGTTGTTAGATAGGAAAAAGCGGGCGCCAGGGAAAACGCTGCAGGCAAACGGATCTAGTTTGGGATCCTCTTGCGCTTGAAGATGATTGTCCAGACAGCGCGCGGGAACTTTCCCAACAGCTCTGGCGATGAACCGCTGCCAGCCAGGCACGGCCAGGGACACACCGAGAACAACAGACGACTTCAGTTCTCCGCGTTACAGCTCCAGAGGACAACTCCTTTTGACAAAGGCAAGCGCATCCTGCGATACCGGCTGCCCAAGTAACGCCTGGCACAACTATAACTATAACGATACAGGCATGAAGGCTCCAGCAGCTGGCAAAACGCGGTAACAGATGTTTCCCAAAGGTCTGGGCTTTCCGCTTCTGTTTCTGAGCAGAGCAAGTATGTTTGGCTGTCAAGAAAATGGACTCTGCACATGAACGAAGCACGACGGCTCTCCCTGAGAGAGGGGAATGGGAGGGAATCCCCTTGGCTGGTAAAGCAGATGGGCAATATGGTCCAGCAGGCAGCAGGTTAAGGCCTAAATGACAGGTTGCTCAACTGCTCCCTTCACCAGAAACAGTAATTTCTTACAGTGCAGGGAAAGGTCTGACCATCTGACCCAAACATGTGGGTGTCTCTGGCTGAAGGAGGAAAGCAGGAGCTGAAAACTGCTTTCAAACGCTTTTTCGGCCGTACAGCCCAGTTGCTGTTACACACAGAGCGAAACTGAAGCAGATCGCACACTGAAGGAAAATCACCCTAGAGCAAAATATTCTGCAAGTTCTCACTTCTGCATTTTAACATTTTTAACCCTCTCCCCTGCTGTTCTACTCATCTCAGACAAGGAAACACACCAGAAGCTCTGACAGGACTGCCATTTCACATCGAGTGAAACCTAACTGAAACGGAAAGCAACGGGGACCCAGACAAATATGACTGCTGCCAGCGTACAACTAAATACAATTTCAGACTGAAGGGCTAGCAAAACCAAAACAAAACCCCTGCACCTTATACTTTCAGTGCCCACAAACCACAAATTCAAGACACCATTCTTAACAGAAGGAAAAAGAAGAGATGTCACAGCGTTCTGCAGAGCACTCGGAAATAACAGCTGGCTAAAATATGGGCAAGCTGCCCATGGAAACAGGCATGTATTTGTACTAATCAGGACTCATTATAGTTTAACAGAATACTATAAATTCACCAAATTATGAAATGCTTCATTTTTACACAAAGCCACCATTCAGAGATTACTAAAACTCACTGTGCAGGTAAAGACAACTTCTCAAAACTAAAAGCAAAGTTAAGAAAAAGAGCCAAAGAAATTCCACAAATACACTGCCTAGAGTAACGGAAATACATAATGAATAAAAACATGTACCACAGAATCATAGAATGGGTTGGGTTGGAAGGGACCTTAAAGCTCATCTACTCATATACACTCGTATAGTTCAATCCACAGCTCAGGCTACTACAGGTAGTATCAGACCAAAGGCAGGAAGCTTCCATTCTGGTGGACAGACCCACCCAGGGAATACAGAATACCATGAGACACGCACGGCTCATTGATGTCGTACGGAGAAGCTCAGCTTTTTACAGTATTCTGTAACGGAAATCAGACAGCTAAGCCGTACGCTGTTGAGGGCTGGCAAAGCACCAGGAGCTCTTCTGTAGCTCTTACGGAAGCAAATTCCCACCCCAGCTGAGCCTGGGTAGGCTGTTTGGATACACAGCTGAGAGCTACCATGTCCTGTTGAATTTAGTAACCGGCACCAGCATCTCCCCTTCGTGTGAAGTAACACACGCTCGTTTCAAGGGTAATTATCTCTAAGAACACTCTGTGAGCTACAATGTACTACCAAGGACGAACATATCGCCAAAATCATTAATGTTATTTTCCATGTTTTTCTCCAGAAGCAAAATATTTTCCTTCCCCCTGAACTGGGAGGAGAGCAAGAAGTAGCCTGGAGGGGGAGAAGAAGGTGGATTTAGCCCGTAGCCAGCAGGGAATTTGTTAGGACTCAGAGGACTAACCTCTGTTTAAGGACACGAAGGAAGGAACTGGGAGCACGGCATTGCCCAGGACAGCAGAGCCAGCTCTCAAATCCGTCGTCACAAACTGTCCGTCTTCTCACCATGAAGAAAGCTGCTGGTGCAAAACAAACTGCCGACTGTCTGAAGGTGCCGCTGGTTTGCCTGAGAAATGACGCACTACTGACACCGAATAATGCTGCCTCTACTCCAAGAGTGTGAAGGTGGGAGAGGGAAGGGGGCAGGGAAGAAGGACAGCTAAAGCGACACGCACAGCGCGGCTGCTGAGGTCACTTCTGGCCGGTAAACCTGACATTCGTGCTCCCACACACCGCACAAGTGCCGTGTTTGGGGCAGGCATGGCTACAAAAGAAGATGCAATTGCTATTTCGGAGAAGCCGTGTCATTGCTGGAAAAACAACTCAAAATAGGTGCAGCTGAAAGAAGTTTAAAACCCCCCACCACCTTATGAGGCATGTTTTGTGCAGCCATCCCCCCGAGAACAAGAGAGGGTGTGACCCAAGAAAGGCAAAGGTACCACGCTCTCTAAAAACCAATACAACACCTACACAAGGAAGCAGGCAGGCACGGACTGTTCAGAAGCAGGCGGCCAGCTGCGGCCTGAACCTGACACAGACAGCTCTCTCCTGGGACAAGCGGGACAAGACAAAGCTGGTGGGTAAGGTGTCCCCTTCTCCGCGCAGCACACAGAGCCGTGTGTGCCCTCCTACCACACGGCTAGCGTCAGGACAAGACGGCTGCATTCAAGGAACTGAAGTACATGTGCACAACCTCATCCTTGGTTAAATGGTTTTTTCCAAAGAAACACTGAAAACAGCACTCTTCTGCAGCGTTGCCATAGCCTTCTGCAACCACTCAAGAAGGTAACGTGCGTTACTATGCATGTTCAATTCCAACAGGTGATGACCTCAGAAAATTTATCAGCCACGCAAAGGCCTTGCCACAGCTATACTAACAGGCACAGGCAACTGGGAAGGCATAAACAAACCCCACAGAGGCCTAAGGACTAAAGAAGGCATCAGTATGTTTCAGAAAAAGGCAGTAAAAGGAGATTGCATCGTTAAGATAAAAACAGCAATTAAAGCAATAATGTGAAATGGTAAAATAGAACAAAACCCACAGCTACAGACAACTCCAAATTGATATAATCTGAAAAGGAGGGAGTGGAGTAATTGGGAAGAACCAGGAGAAGAAGAATTAATAAAATGAGGTTTCATCTAGACAAATGCAACGCAAAAAAAAAAAAAAAAAAGAAAAGAAATTATTGACAGCTTAAAATGACTTTCAGCCACCAGGAACAACAGGGATGGGAAGAGCCATTTCAACGCACGTCAGCTGGGCTTTGCCACGCCTGCTGCGGTGTCATACCTCTCTGAACAGGGAGGCTGGCAGAGAACTTGCAAAGACAGTAATGATAGAGATGGTAATCCAGATCTTTCCACACTCTCTCCTTTTCAATTACCTTGTGGGACGGTTAATCTTATTGTACAAAGTAAAAAAAAGATGAGCACAAAAACCATGAGCTGTCTCCAAAGGTATCTGCTCAGAGAGAGAGGAGTCCAAGCCATTTTAAGCGCCACACTAGTTTCTTAAATGCTTTTGATTTTACTGCACTTACCAGTATGCTAGTCATTTTAGAAAGCTCTTTTTAAAAAAAGAAAAAAAAAAAGCCCAAACAAAAAAAAACAAAAGACAGATAAAAGAATCTCAAATTAGAAGAAACATCGTAAGAGGACTGCTGAGCGATGGGATTTTTGCTCTTGTTGCTGTAGCATCTGAAGAAAAGCTCGCAGAACGGAAGAGCACACTCGGCACGGCAGAAGTGGAAGGATAGTGTAAAACGAATAGAAACCGAATGAAATTAAGAACGGGAAGTATTTAATTTTGACTAGAAAAGAAGAATGCTTGAAGTTATACTGCAATACTTCTGCCCCTGATGCTTCCATTTCTGTGCACATGTATTCTTCCATGGACAAACCCGAAGATCAGCTGAACCTCAAGAACAAATGGGAAGTGAGACAGCAGCAGTGAGAACACACACAGCTCATTCACTACTGCCAGCACCTTCAATTTTCTAATGTGGAAGGGGGCACTGAAATAAGGAGAGGAGAAAACGCAAAAAAAATAAAAGACCTTTCTCTTCTTCTTGAGATGTATCTTGAATATCATTAAAATCAGCAGCAGCCACTTGCTTCACACAGTAATGAAAAGGCCTTCACCACAGAGCTGGCGCTCCGTGACCTGCACTGTGTGGCACTTGTCTGCAAGATGGGCAGTCAGTCACGCTCCTCTTCAGCAGCCGACAGAGCTCCGGGCACACCAGGGGCTCCAGCGTGGCGGCTGCTGGCCGGTTTCACACAAAGGAACCTGGTAATTACAGCCTGGGAAGTGCCCTTGCCCCAGCAGGAAACGCGTTCGGCGTGTTCTCTTCTTTAAGCACGTACTGCCGCTCACTTCTATTGCCCAGGACAGACTTACAAACGCTCCAAAATGGTTATTTTCATTCCACGTCTTGCCCTGCTTATTTCCTGGCCAGTTGCGCCTGTTTATTCCACCCTTGGCTTTCCTCGCTGGCCGCACCAGGGCTGGGCCCCGAGCCCCGACAGACATGTCCCATGGAAGGCTGCAGCGGCGCAGCGGGAAGCGCCACGCTCGGGAGCCCCATCCCAGTCCCATCCCAGCCCCTCCACAGCCCCATCCCAGCCCAATCCCAGCCTAATCCCAGTCCCACCATAGCCCCATCCCAGCCCCGCCACACACGGAGCCTGGGCTGAGGACGGCACGGGCAGGCTGAGCCGTCCACGCTCATCTTCCTCATCGCATTTCCACCCTGCAAAGCGGGAGCCAGCACAAACTGCTTTGGAGGGCAGAGGGGAAGCAGATTTCTCTCGGCGTGATTTGGTAGCTTGCTGCCCCTTCCTGTGTTCAGCCTTTTCTTTGCCCTGGGTGGTGCTTGGAAAGAGATCAGCTGTACGTTTTGATAATAAGAACTTCCGCGGTCAGAAGCATTTAAAAACCACTAACTAACTTCTCAGATACTGCAATAGGAAGCTTCCCAAGGCTTTTAGGAGTTTGAAGAAGTTGCTATTGGTCTTTTCAGAAAACACGTAACCAAAGAGATCGAGCACGACCGTTTCCAAGCACTTACAGAACTTCGCTCTTTCTTCCTACCTTCTAATTTCTCTCGGTTTACTGAGCATTTCACTGCCATGTAACTGCACCAGCTAAAGGGCCATTTCTCTTCTTAGACTCATTTTCCTCCAAGGGTGTGAGCAATTCATAAATATCCTACCCTTGATTCCTCCTTTTCCTCCCCTCAAAATTCTTTAGTTTTCAAGCATTTCTGCTTTATTTTTCTTCTATTAATAAAAACATTACACCTAACTGTTAAAGCCCAAAAGCAGATTTGGTATGGAATTATCACTAAGCATTTAAGTGACAATGATGCCCCCCGACACAGGGACATCAAGCCTTCCCAAGGCATCATTAACATTTGCCTCTTCTGTTTGTGGCTGGAGTTTCTGACCTTCAGCCACTGACTCCACGAGCAGCTCTATGGAGAAAGATGGAACAAATGTCTGACCTGAAGTACGGATACCTAGGGACAGAACCATGACTTGAGGGTGTGACAGGAAAGGGGTGAGGAGCCAAAGCAGCAGTCAGCACGGTGTCACAGCCCAAAGGCTCCAGCTGTCAGCAATTACGCTTCTGCTGGAGACCCAAACCTGGTGTGAGCCGGCGGGTCTGACGTGCTGCAATACACCAGCATGAGATAGCAGCTTACGCAGCGCTCAGAAAAACACCATAATCCTCTTACCGGTGACACAGGGAAAGAGAGCAGATTTATGCCAGAGGGAACTAGATCTTCTCTCTTTGGAAAGCGCTCTTGAATCGCTTGGTTCATATTTTTCAGCAGTAATAAACATTTTATGCAACTTTGGGTTTATGCCTTCTGGAATCATACGTGGGCTACGCTGGTAGAAATGAAGCATTTTGTTTCCCGAAAGAGCTTTGTGGATGCTCCTTTTGTTGGACTGGCTTTGATTGTAAGTCTGTAAAAGAGAAGATAAACCATATGTTGTGGGATGGCTTTTTTCCACATGACGTGATCAAAAGTAACAGAACATCTCAGTGCCTGTGGGGTTTCTCATTATTTTACGTTCCGCCACCAAGATGGTTTGGGTTTGTTTCTTTTCTTTTTTGTTTTCTTCTCGAAACACAACTAAAACAAAACACGATGCAAGGCCCTGAGCGCCAACCATACCCCCTCTTCTGTGAATATCGTCCGTTAAGTCAACACAACTGCTTGTTCAAGTTCTTGAACTGCAAGTGTGAGCCTTGCCGTGTGCCTCCACACCATGGTAACCAAGGCAGAGAGGGGAAAGATCAGAAGGACACGGGCGACAACAACAAGCTAGTAAGGTTGTATTGAAAGTCTGATAATGATTATGTTAAAACATAGCTGCTAAGTTCTATTTCTTTTTTAAAGAGCTTCCATACTAAAATATCGAAGTTAAATTTGAATTATGGTCATTTCGTGCCTAGGTAAAACACCCAAAGCAAACGTAACACAAAGCAAGGAAGCACGAAAGAACAGCGACTGTTCTTTCAAGCTGCAAACAATACAAAATATAAACCCATGTACAGCCTTTTAGGCTCTGCAAACACCTCAGAAGCAGGCACAGCACTCGATGGAAAAAGAAACACAGCCCTTGCCTGGGGACATTCACAATCTGCAAGAGATACAGGGGTGGTGTGAATTAGATTACATCAGGAACAAAGAAAGGAGGTCAAGCAAAAAAAGGCGTAAGATCATTTGTTAATGTCATACCTGCTCCCAGGCCTTTCATTCATTACACTCCGGTTTTATTGTGCAACAGGGAAACCAAGACAAAGATGGAGAAACCAAGGCAAGAAACCGGTCCCCCCTCTGAAACGGCCCCCTCCCCACCCAGCATTTCTTGTCTAACCCTGTCCTCTGCGTCCCCGTGACAGGTCACCCGTGGAGACGGCGTGCCCAGCGAGGCAGACAAAGTGCTCTGAGCACGGCGGCACGGCAGCTACGTTCTGTGGGGAGAGAGGTCTGCGGAAGCCAGGATTGGAGGAGAGGGACACAAAAAGATGCTCTCTGAGTAAGATGGGAAGAGGCGAACAGCTAGCTCGAACAAACTGGCCCTCGGGCCTCCCAATAAATACCTTCTTAATCCTAGAACAGGCAAAAAAGTCTGTTTATGGAAAAAAATTTGCATCACCCAATCCATTGCTTAACAACCGTTGCTTTGCTGTTCCTGACCCAGCGTGTTTCCTGCTCCTTTGTCTCACAGGGTCAGCTTGGCCTGGCGGGAGCCCGCGCGGCCGTGAGCTCCCCGGGCCTGTCCCCCTGCCCGGTGGCCGGCGCTCCCTCCCAGGCCCTGCAGCTGAGCTGCCACGAGACGTGACAAAGCCCAAATCGCGACACGGCCCGCCTGGGAACCCGGCCCTGCGAGGGGGTGGGACCGCTCAGGAACCCGGGGCACGGGCAGGGCGCAAGCGCGGGGCATGCGGCAGGACGGGAGCCTGGCACCGGCTTTGGCAACAGAGACTCCCCTCAAACTGCAGACTTCCAGACCTGCATTTACCAATTGTTCCCAATAAAAGTTCTTCAAAAGCTTTCTAATTGACTTGAAGTGGGTTGAGTTTTTAATAAAGAAAAACTAATTCTCACGAATTTATACAAGACCATTAATTACTCAGCTGCAAGGTGTGTGATGAGGAAGAATCTCCACATTAACAGATCTGGAAGGAGACTCAATTAAAAAAAAAAAAAATTAAAAAAAAGGCAAAACCAAACAAAGCAAGCAAGCCAATATTGTTCAGCAATTAAATTTATTTCATGCTCTCAAAACAAACAAACAAAAAATCGTAAGATTACTATCCTACCTGGGGGAAGGTTCTGCTTCAAGGATTTCTGACAAAATCCGAAGAACCCAGTAACCCAACTACTTAAGTGAAACTCCAAGTAATTTAAGGGACCATTTTAACACCCCATTACAGAGCAGAGCTTTCAGTAGTAACCTGTCCTCAGAAGCAGCATGAGAAAATACCCATTCACGATACCACTCACTTTTACAATCTTTAACTCTCACCCCTTCAAAGCAGGTTTTTTTCCTCAGGCAGGATTCTTTGGACCCTCATTTAGAATTAAATTCCTGCTACCCACCAGTTTAAACCAGAGGCACATCATCAACTGGAATAAAGGAAATAACAGCAAGACTCTGAAATTACGGGTTCACATCAGCTTACACGTAGCTCGGACTTCTCTATCACGAAACCTGACCCAACTCAGAACCAGCCTCACAAGTAAACAAACCAATGAAGAACAAAACCCATTTTCAGCCCCAACAGGGAGGCGCACCCCAAAACCACCTTGCAGTCAAACAGGGGCTGCCCCACGGAACGGTAAAGATGCAGGTTCAGATCTCTCTGCGACTGATCACGCGCAGGGGCCTGCCCTGCCTCCTCCCGCCTGAGCCCGGCCCCGCCAGCTGCCCCGCGCTAGACCCAGCCACGGGCGGCCGCGGGGCGAAGCTGGGCAGCGAGCTGGCGCAGCTGACCATCGGTTCTGCCGGCTCCCGGCTTAGATTTCCCCTGTACGTTAGTTTCCCAAGGGGCAGCCTGCACTCAGAGACGATTAATTACGCTCTGAGTCGAGTGCTGAGGTTCAGGAATTTAGCAAAAGTAGATTTCCATTTAAGCTGATCTCTTCAGGCCTCACACGCAAGTGTGCTACCGCTAAGCACCAGCCTGAACGCGCGGTGTCGTCAGCAGTTCAGAGCCAGACGCTCCCACCCTCCCGCTCTCACAGCTCCATCCCTGTCTCTTCCACACGTCGCCCTGTACCCTTGGCAAACCCCCTGTATTCTCCGAGTCTCGGTTTATCATTTACAAAATAAATGTTACTAAGAAGACACCGAGAGAGCGCAGGTATTTTTAGAATACTGGGGGCTATTACACTTCCTCGTAGTTCAGCTGTTGCCAGGAGTGCTCAGGATGGCGGTGATAGTTTCCTGGAACAGACTGAACACGTCACTTGGTTTTCCCAGCGAGAAGAAAGCCACACACTCACCCGTTCCTCCCGCCCTTCGGCGAGGATGACAACGATCCTGCCCTGCCGCCTGCGCCCCGTTCGGCCCATTCTCTGCACGAGGCGAATTGGACTTTTCTGGGCGTCAAAGCAGATGATGAGATCAACTTCTCCGATGTCTAAGCCTTCCTCCCCGACGCAGGTGGAGACCAGGGTGTTATACCCACCCTCACGGAAGCGTTTTACCACCTGAATGAGCGACCAAAATTAGATTTAACGGTTAGCCAGAAGGCCCTTGATACACACTTGGCAGTTTGTCTGTTCAGAGAGAAGTTGAAAAAAATTAGTTTATGTTTTAAAACTACAAATCTTAGTCTTTCTGAAATTGTCAACTACTACATCGTGATCAAATACCACGCACTGTTATCAACATCAACGGACCAACCCTCCAATTCTAAGATAAAGGAAAAAAGCACACCTTATTCTGACTCCCACTCTGGCATTCTTACAAAATTGATCTTCCTAACTTTGCAATTAGATATTTGTTTTGTTTTGTTTTTCTAACTTTGCTAGATCAGAATTTAAGGAGATACCTTATTTTTTTCTACCTACAAGGAAAAAAAAAAAATCCCCTAAGCCAGTATTTGAGTATTTCCCCAGATTGTCAAACATACAAAAGTTAGCAATTGTTAATATAATGTCAATATATAAAATATTTCTACTTACACATTCTGTTCAGGGAGTATAAGTCTGGATACTCCAAAAGCGACTGAACCACAGAGGAATTCACTAAGGACCCTTCAGTCCCTGCCATGCGACCCAGATCACGCACTTACTCACACAACTGACACTCTCTCACTATTTCCTGCTACAAGTCGCATCGTGTCTTTACCTCAAGCTGCTCCTTCTGCGTGAAGCCTTTCGTGCTCTTCCCCGTGGAGTGGCCCACAAACGTCATCACCCGAACCACCGGCCGGAGCCGGGAAAGCATGTCTGCAATTTCTTGCACGCTGTCCCGGAACGAGGAGAAGATCATCACGCGGGTGTCCACGGCGTCCGCAGACCTGCTTTCGCTTGTGACTTCGGCTGTTTAGTTGTAAAAAGCCAGAAAAGCAGTTTTATTACCAATTAAATAACTACCAACTAGATAATTACCAATAAAAAAGTAAGGACAAGTCCATCCCACCAGCTACACATTCACAGCTCTCCTCTCACTTAATGGGAAGATTTTGCCCAAGTACACTGCTTTTTGACTTTTTCACAGACATTCTCTTTAAAAGAAATTTCATTTTTTTAAAAATCAGAGTAAATAAATACAATAAAAATCAGTAGAGAAAACGGACAATTAGGAGCCTCATCCTATTTAGACCAACCTCACAGAAAATGCTCCAAGATATATCTGCTCAAACAATTCCTCTTTGGGACCAGAGCAGTATTCTAACTCTGGAGAATTTATACCAACTATGGCGAGAATGTCTTCTATCTGAGGTACCACTGCTAACGTCACTTTGAAAAGCTCAGGTTTGGCAGCAAGTGTCTTCAAATACAGCTTGAGATGCCTTCTTCCAAAGAGCCTACAATGTGACTTTTAAATCTGCTGCTTAAATGCCCAGAGTCAGATGAAGTTAGCAATATCTAGCAAAAAAACCCAGTTACCATTAGGCTAGGATACAGCACGGTGGAGTGAGAGAGATGTACATCAACTGTCTACGATTTACCACAGCAAGTTGTTTCTAGTTCTACAGCTTTGGATCCTCACGACAGCAGAAATGTGCAAAAACTTCCCTTAATATCAAAATCCACTGCTTCTGCATGATCTATCACCACAACTGGTTATAGCTCTCCGTTCAATGGCAAAGACAACTTTTGCCCTTTCAAAAAAAAAAAAAAATTGGGAAAAATAATTCCATTGACACACAGCTTCTTAGCAAGGTGCCTTTGACCAATACCACGTTTCTTATGTTATACCATCACGGATTTTGTCTTCCGGGCACTCAGCTTTTTTTTTTTTTGCCTTTTGTTTTTTTTAACCACAGACGGGTATCTGCCTTCATGAGCACCAGCAAACGCCATCGAAGCAACCAGCAGGGCCTGGACAGTCACCTTCTCTTCATCCTAGCCAAGGACTAAAACAAGACGCCCGTCACCGCGTGCTACGAAGTAAAAACCTGGGATGTTGAAGAAGAGAGTCTCCAAAAGGATATAGTGAATGACTGAAACTGGCATGGCGTGCCTGCACTGCCTGGACACCGGCCTCAGATGAAACCAAATAGGTCCAGGGACAAAGATCTCCTCTTTTACACAATTTTCCATATAACACCTTGATCCCATCAAAAGAAAGGTTAGACAAGGAATTAAAATTCTCAGGGCTGAATGTGTAAAAGGAGTTTTCCTGAACATACAAAGAACTGTCACGTGGTGCCTGACACCAGTTTCACACTATACCTGCAATTCCAGCATCAAGCTGCTTCTTGAAGCTGAAGCAGGAAGCCTAACAGAGAAGTGTATCCATCTTTCTGACCAGCTGCCAGAAATTCCAGTTTAGTTTTTAGTTCTGCATATACCTACATGCAGAAATGCTTTCAGCAGCCTAAGTCAAAAAGCAGAAGCTGAAGCTAACCATTCTGCCCTTTTCTTCTTAAGACGGGCCCTGAACTCACGGTAGATGAAGAAGATGGGTGCCTCTGCTCAAAACAAACGTTAATCTTGAGGCTGACAGCCCAGGAGGGTAGCCAGGAGGATCTCCAGCGGTCCCGTCCAACCAGTCTCCATTACTCTACGCTACTCTACTGCACCCTCTCAGTAAATTGCCGGCGATACGGGAGGTCGCCTGTCCAGCACAGAGACCAGTCCCCAGCGAAGGCCTAGAACCGACAGGGTGAGCGGGATTCAGTGCCTCTAGCCAGGAACCAGACCCCGCAGCACCGATGCAACGCGTTCTGCATCACTGGCCACCCTGAGCAGACTGACGAGCTGTGTATTTCAGAGGAAGTGCTGGCTGGATGTATCTTACTTACACAAGTTCATATCGATCTCCTCCACTACCTTCATTCTGAACAACATTATTCTATATCTATTTTTAGCATATTCTGATGGCTTGAGTAGCAATAATGCTCAGTAGCATCTGTCCCTGGACTGTAAAAAATGCTACACTGCTGCCATTACCTCCTCGACCTTATCCAAAACCAGACTTGGAAAATTCAAGACATTAGCAGCCCATAATCAACCTGACACGTAATCCAGGTATGGAAGATTAGATGGGAGAAGCTCATTATGCTGAGCCAACCTTTCTTAAGGGCTGGCCAGAACGTTAGCTTGCACTTACCCGAATTGCTGCTAAGTGCATCTTGCAAAGCAGGGCAATCCCTACGTGGTCAGGAAGCTCAAACTGAACCGGGTTCATCACTAGTTAGAAACGGCTCAGAGTTTGCACAGGCAACTTGGCACTACTCCTGCAGGTCCTCGTGTGACAGGTTCCATTTCAAACAGAGGAAAAAGAGCTAGTGCTCCTGATCTGGCTAACGACTTTGGTTATCAATACTCTCCTTTTCTGTCGCAAATGTAGGGCTTTTCAGGGAAAATGCTTTGCAGTAGCAGTTACCGATTTTAAAAATTACACACAGGCTTGAAGACAGTAAATGATGATTCGGAGTTGTTCAGTAACATGGAACTGGAACAAAGCAGAGCCAAGTTCAGGGGGTTGGTTTGCTTCTGGTTTTTCCCCTAGAGATACTACATGCTCGCATGAGTCCCTGAAACAAACACTGAATGCATCTCCCACTGCTCACATACTGACTTAGGCTTTTACTTCAGAGCCTTCTGAGTGAGCAAAGACACATGTGATGATGTTTGGAATCTCAGTAATACTCAAGTTTTTATTGACAGGCTTAGGGCAAGTTCCTGCCTGGAGGAGGAAGAAATCAGGACACAGGTGTGTGCTCTGCTCAGCCAGAGTCCAAACCAGAATTCAGGGTGTAGCTCCTTGCGGACGTGTGAATTTAGAGTTTACGTGCAAGAAACAGGGAGTAAGGGTAGAAATACAGGTTTTGGGTTGTTGCTTCAAAGGTGTCATCAGAGGCGCTGTGACACAGTGAATAAGGTGGCAAATAAACCAATTCCCGACGTCCTGCTCTTCCTGCCAACTGCCCAGTGCATCCGTGCTGGAGATGCACAAGCTCAGGAGACACAAGCCGGAGGTCAGCACGTTCCCTGCTGCTAGAACACCTCCAGGATCAGACAGTGAGCTGTAGCAAAGTGCTTTCTGCCCTTACTCTACACACAAGGATTTCAGGACTGGTGGTTTGAACTCGCTCTAAATTTAGCTACACGCACCTACAGACCGGTGTTCAGGACACTGCTCTGTATTCCCCATGGCCTCGCACGTTGGTTGGGAGGACAGAGGAGGTCACAGGGAACAGGAGCAAGGAAGCACGGCAAGAAAACCTAACGTACCTGGCTCAGGATACGCCTGGACACACTACTGTAGCTCACCAGAGACGCTACGAAAGTTAAGGTGCTTCCTCCCGCACAGTTCCTGTAGTTTTGTGTTTATAACCGTAAAGACTTAGAGTTCATGCCTACTCACTTCCAGGGTTCATGCACACAGACACAAAACATATATTATTTATATGTTATAATTATATATATTAATTACCTGTTAGTAATATTAAGAGACATGTCTGACCAACATTTCAAGGAAAAACATATCTTATGGGATTCACACAACAGCAAAATCCACGCTTTCAAAAGATGACAGAAGAGAATTAAATATGAAACTTAAAGTAACTCCAGTACAGAATAATACAGAAGTTGAAATCAAAAGGCAAGAGCTTAGAAAGATGTTACAGGAAACAAGGCAGAGGCGTGGAAGGAGGCAGGGAGGACAGAAAGAAGTATGAATAGAAAGGGGCAGGGGGCAGGGGGAGAAAGTAATTTGATTAAATGCATCTTATAAACTAACAAAAACGAAACTGAGGAAACGTGCGAGTTGCCTGCTAGGAAGGCTTGATTCTGAAAATCAAGCATAAGATAGGAAAAAAACCCCAAACCAACACAAAACGGAACAGAAGGGCAAGTCAGAAATTATCAGAACTTCACCAAGCACTAAGATCCAAACAGACAAGGAAAAAAGTGAAGAAGTTGCAAAAAAATTATTGTTACTGATGTCATCATTCTGAAAGCAATAACTGGATCAAGAAGCTGAAACTTCCTAAAACCAGAGACGTCTGAATGATTCGGAACACTTTGCTTCATAACCTCACACTACTGTATGACATGGTTTTTTTCTCCCTTTTGGTCACGATGAGAAAGAATGAGAGACAGACGAATGTAACTGAGGGTTTTAAACTTCAAATCGATGTCTCAGAATGCGTCACTCCTGGCAACAGGCTGGAGACCAGAACTTTGGTCCTTCAGCTCCACAAATGGGCTGCATCCTCCTTTGCAGGAGGCAGTGGTGGCACTGCGCTGAGAGACGGTTCGCAGAACAAACGCTGTGACTAAGAAAATTCATGACACAGAGTAGCGCTAGGGATGAGATCACTACCCCTGTTTTACTGAGCTGTTGGAAGAGTTTATATCCAATTAACAACAATAACTTACAGAATGATTTTTCTTAAAGAAATGTTATGGTATAGCTCTTCTGAAGAGGACTTTTCCACACAGGAGATACACAAACATACAAAACAATATAGAAGCACTGGAACAAATTAGGAAGTAACTCAGTAGGATATTACTTGTTTTCATCCTCAGGTTCAACCGTTCAGATACTTCTTTGCGTTGTTGGTACCTACCAGAAGATCCCCCTTTCCAGGATTTGAAGTGTTCTATTACAATTTCCTCCAATTTCCTTAATTTTGGATGGCTGTAGATAAATTCCTTTTTATTTTCAAACACTGAAAAGGAAATAAAGCAATTAAAGATGTAAGTAAACCTGCAACAAGTACGAAGGCTTAGTAAACTTCTTTTCCTCCCATTTGTACACAAGTCAGATGTACAAATTCCTGACACTAGTTCTACCTGCATTCACCTAAACAAATTTGTGAACTACTCACGGAAGAACATTTGTTAAAACCAGTTTTGGAGGAAGTGTTGTTACTTCCGTACAGCCACACTGTAAAAGTTATCGAGTCAAACAGTAATGTTTTAACCCTTCACTATAAGTCAAATTAAGAACTTCAAACATAGAAAACTTGTCCAAAGGTAGCTAAAACCACCAAGAGACAGATAGATAGATAGATAGATAGATAGATAGATAGATAGATAAACAGACAGACAAGAGTCAGAAGAAAACAATCTGGAACAAAGCATACTAGCCGAGCTTATCACAATGAACAGCTTCTTGCATCTACAAACGGTGCAGAGGTATCTGCTGTTTCATTTAAACAGAAAGTAAATATTCTGTCCCTAAAAGGGAAATACTGACCTGTTGTACTCTTGTAAACATTTCCATTCGCTGAGGCCAGAGATGTGCCTGAAAACATGTCTCTAAGCTGCTGATAGAGCTTCATGAAGTCCTCGTTACGACCAAGTTCAGTCTTTGTACGGCTTAGCCCTTTGGAAGAAGTTGAAATACCTTAGTACTTAATCTCCGGAGTGAATATAATTTTTGCTATCCAAAAGACAAGCTTTCTCAGAAGTAGCAAGCTTCTTTCAAGAGCTGAAAGATACATGTTAGCTTTAGTAAATGTCATAAACGTTGTTTGGCGTCAGTATTTTTTCAGGGAAGATGCCATTATAGAATCTAAACATGGAAACATGAATTTAAACATGAAAAACATCCATAGAAAGAAGCCTGGTCCTGCAGGTAAGCTAAAAAGTTTTACATCAACCACTTTGCACTAGAAAAGCCATCCAATCCAGAAATGATCAGGATGGTGAGGCCCTGGCACAGGCTGCCCAGAGGAGCTGTGGCTGCCCCCTCCCTGGCAGTGCTCAAGGCCAGGCTGGATGGGGCTGGGAGCGACCTGCTCTGGTGGGAGGTGTCCCTGCCCAGGGCAGGGGGTGGGACTAGATGGTCTTTGGGGTCACTTCCAACCCAAACCGTCCTGTGATTCTATGAAATGCTGTCAGATACTCAAAGAGAAGGGAACCCAGACCAAAAGCTAAAATTAAGAAGTTTCTTAAATGATTTTATATCAATGTTGAAAAGAATTTTGTCCTACTCAAACCAGAAGCCAAACTTACAGAGCAGCAGTACAGCAGACCTAGTTATTAGAACTATTTTCTATCAGCCATCTTTCAAAAGCAGACAGGGATTTATGGAATCCAAGAAACTAGGAAATACATTAAATGCTCTCCAGTGCCTATGTCCAACAAGAGCACTATACCACCAGAAATGTAAAAATCCGCACATGTGAAAGCAATAAATTGTAAAGATGTCAAAAGCATAAAATTAATGAGACATTATTAGCACGTGCAGACTATAAAAATATATTTTATAGACATTCTATAGCACGAAGCAAGCCCTGTATGCTTTTGCTCAGCCATGGGACAAAGCAGGCTCATTTCAATTAAGCAGTGCTGTAGGCGAAGCAGCTTTTGTAACTCACCACACAGTTACACAGCTAAGTGTAAATCAAAGTGAAGCAAGAAACCCGAGAGCCACACCATGGGGTAATCTGAACAGCTGGAACCTTCCCCTCCCACCTCCAGCGTTCAAAACAAATCTGCAGTTGGGCTGGCGCTGCCATGTTGAAATCTGTCCCCTCAAAACAGGTGTCAGTCCCAAACCTGGTCTTCCAGAAAGCAGCGGCAGCCCAACAGGTCTAAAAATGACTGCAGAGTTGCAAAAGACTCACCGCAGTCAGCAACAGAATTAGGAAAATAAGCCAAGGGCAGAACAGAAAATACTATTGCATCACGGTATGAATTTGTGCTGTATCCACACCCGGAACAGCGTGCACTGTTCTCATCATGAGGCTGGAGAAAGTGGGAAGAGGAACAGAGAAAGACAATAACAACGTCTCATTCTGCCTAGTGAGCAGGGAAGATGCTGAACAGCTGGGACAGAAATTCTGGTGTGATGTGTCTAACTCTGCCATGTTCTGGCAAAGACGCCTAAAGCTCACGCATACGGCAGTTTTGCTCCAGGGGAGGAGGTGCTTTACGAGACCCAACGATTTCTCAGTTTAAATTGTCCCACGGCTATTCTCTGTCTCCAGAGACAGTACTGCCACCTACTCTCAGCTCTGTTTGGGCCTTATTTTGTTTCAGAACTGCTGCTGTACAAACACATTTGCTTCCCAAATATACTCAGTCTTTAACACTGCACTGACATACTTCCCACAGGGGCGAAGGGGAACAAAATACCCATTACATTTGCAACCCATCTGTTACACACGCTGGTTTGTGCAAAACCAGCCATACAGACGAGGTAAATGAAATGAGGAGGAGTGGAGACAAAAGGAAGGACGTTTCTGAAGACACTTCACCTTTTGATCCATCCATAATTCCACAAAGGTAGATAAATAATGACCGTACTCCCATTTGCAGCAGCAGCTCATAACCATGATATAAACTGATGCAAAGTGCAAAATCTCCTTCGATGATGCCTTGATGCATTCCCTGTGAAAACAAACCAGGCTCATCGTTACATTAGGAAGCCAACAAGCATCAGGCATCACACGGCAACTCTTCTGACAAAAACAAGAGGGACAGCAGAGAACCAGGGCCAGAGCACAAACTAACGCACGCCGAGCGGGCTGTCCGTCAAACCCTTCGTCCAACAGGTTACACATTTCTCACAATCACTGAAGGCAACCTTCTTCCGTCTCCAAAACAATCTCCTAAATACTGTGTTATCCTCCAAGATTAGCTCTTCACTTTCCAATGCAGCAACAGTCCAAATCTGACAGCTGAACCGTCCATCCGTGTTTGGCAAAACAAGAGATTTCTGGCACGTCTACTCAGGCCACAAAATTTAAGCCAGGAAAGTTGTCTTGTCAAGTGTATCTACCAATCTTCTTTGTAAGGCACACAGTCCTTTTTTTTGGGGTTTTTTTTTTTTTTAGGTAATATTCTTTCTTAAGTTTGCAATATTTGAACACTCCATGACAATTTACAGAAAGATAGGAGCAGCAATGTTGTTTTGAGGGGACGGTGTAAACTTGCCAGTCAGCAATTACAACCTAAGTTCTCAAAACAACTTCAGTTTGCAAATGGAGTTGTTCATCTTTTCCTTAATTTTCCTACATCAGCATCAAGCAATGTGGAACAAAGCAGGCGTATTTTATTCCAGGGCAAAACCCAGAATGTTACAAAGGAAACCTAACTTAAAGGGTATCAGGAAACTTTGTATGCTACAGAGTATTACTGCTTACTCATTACTGTAATAGCATGAAATAAATACACATTTACCATATTTTGTGAAGAAGGGTTTTTTCTATATTGGTCTCTTGCTAGAATTATCTGGTACTTTGTAAGGCTGGGAATATCCCGCCTTGCTAACACTCCTACTTTAATCAGGCGTCCAGCAAACGTTTCCAGCACCTGCAAACAAAGCACAGAAGTACACGTAAGGTGTGAAGGTACGTGTATTTAGCCGCTCGGTTTATGTTGACAGATCTTACACGACAGAACACAAGCAGGTCATTTATTTCATTTGAAACACAGAGTTTTTCGAAGCCATCTGTACTGATTTCTGAATCATTTGTGACTGTACCAGAGGACAACCTGGCGCTCTGCCTCACCTTAATTCTGCGTTATCAGGATGTTTCTACGCTAATCTACAATTTATTTTTTTTTCTAAGACCAGTAGAAGCATTACAGCTTGGTTCCCTAAGGATTTGTGCTCTCCATCCTACAGGCAAACACCATCCTGCCCCCAAGGTAACCCCAGATCCGTCAGATAACCGAGAAGTGGGAACACACACTGCGCTTTGCGATCGCACGAGTACTGACCAAGCAGGGAGGAGCCGAACAGGGACGGGTGCCCAGCTCCCTCCCTTACTGGTAACCCCAGCTCCAGCGGCCCTTCAGGAACACTTGTACCCATCTTCGGGAAGTCTCCGTTAGGCAGGCGTTGGACTAGCCAGCAGGTGAGCAAGCTGTGTGTGGGAGGGGCAGGCTGTGTGTGGGGGTGGGGAGCCGGGAGCCGAGGGGAACGAGCGCCCGGCAGGCGGCCTGGCACAGCAGCCCGCCCCGTTTCCTTCGGCAGCCATGCCAGAAGACAATGTGGTTTTATACATCACATGTACCTGTTTTCCACATCGGCTAAACAAGGGAACTGACCTGCACTAATTCATCTTAATCCTGTTTTTCCTCTTTGTTTCTTGGCCTTAGGTGGTCGGGATTTTTTTCATAGACTTAGTTTTGCATGAGCGCTAACTCTGCAATAATTGGAGTAATCAGATTTGTCCTACCAAAATTACTTACAATCTGTTGGCCCACTTGGCTAGTAGCACCGAAAACACCTTAGTGCACAATAACAAGCTCCTCCAAAGGCAGGCAGCCTTGACTTCGTGCGGCAGCAGTCAGTTCCCGAGAGCTGCTTACAGGCACACAGCGCTTCCCGAGTTCGCTCGGCATTGTAACACCCCTTCGGCTGAGCGGCACCAAGAAGGCTGTAGCCTAGCAGTGCCTAACCCCGTTACTGCTGCTCTTCCAGCCCACTGACCACCAAGTCCAACTGAAACAATAAAATCAGGCCTAACTTTCAGGCCCCAATCAACATGGATCTTGGGCATAACTGGGAATAATTGCCATCGTCAGCTACGGCAGCATTAATCCCCCAAAGAATTGAGAATGCAGAGAGAACTTTGGAAGGGTGAGGGAAAACCTGTGAAAGCCCCAGCCAAACCAGGGAAACGATGTGCTGGGGAATTTCCACGCGGCCCACTCCACGGCTGCGGGTGTTTCAGAGCCAGCTACCCGGAGCCAGCAGGCTAAGCAGATTACAGCAGATAAAGGCTGCTGAGAAAGAATAGAAGCGATGCCTCCGTTCCGAATGCTCTGGTGCATCTTAGGCTGCTCCTCTCCCCCCTCACTCTGCGCCCTCAGGCTGGGACCCCACGCCTCGGGCAGCTGGTGGCTGCTGCTCAGAGGAACTCAGCTGGGCTCACCGGCTGCCGGCCGGAGGGAAGCGGGCAATCCCGCTGGAGCAGCTCAAGGGCAGGATGGTGCTGAGGGGCACGGCCCGCCCCGCGTCTCCTGGGGAAGCTCATGCCAGACCTGAGCGCCCATCTGCGCCCGAGAGCCCCCTGGCACCACCGAGCCCTGTCTTCAGGCTTGCCTTCACCCCCAGGGAGCCGGGGTCACGGCCCCACACGGCCCCTCGGGCAAAGCGAAGCACAGCCAGGAGACTCCACCCCGAAGCATTCCGTCTAATTAAGGCCAATGGATTAATTGGACCAAATAAATCACTAACACCACAAACAACAAGCGAACACCAACTGGAAACTACACTATTGCTAGGAATTTCTGCAGGGAAAAAAAAACAAACATGGAAATCAAACAATCTTTTCTTCAGATACAGTCAAAATAATTCACCAAGCCACTTGGAGGTCTAAATGCACAAGAAAATCTTTTCTCATATTTGGTTTAGTTTTAAGAGTTTAAAATTCAAAACATTGTCTTTCACCAAACAGTTTGTTATTTTTATGCTGTTTTTAAATCTGGCCTGTATCTGACAAGTCACTTTAAAAGGACAGACAGAAGTGTCTGTGCCAGCTTATAAAAAAGGTATTAAAAAATAAAAAAGGAAATAAGAATGTTGACTATGCAAGGGATAATTCAGTGGGTTTTATTTTAATGGGATACCACTGAAACAGCTCTTTACCCCCACATCAAAGCCTAAGCAGTTGGACATGAGGACACTTGAAATGCTGAAGATCAAGCTTAGACTGTGTCTCAGGTAGCAGAAACGGAGTCAGTCCTGAGCACAAATGTGTTTCTCCAGAAAAGAAATTAATGTTTTCATTAAAAAGCAATGCCCACATTGCAGTATAATATTTCAGCACTGGTTTATTATTTCCTATACTTGTTGCACAGCTTTTTCAGAAAAGAAATTTCCATTACATGTACTTTTATGTTTCATCCCTTGACCTAGTTTATAACGTGTAAGAAAATTACATGGTCACTGTTTACTCAGTGTGTACCCCTGTCTGACTTAATCATCTTCTGCAAAACAAACCAAGGAAGACTATTACGAGAGACAGCAGGATCCAGTCACCTGGAGCTTCAAAACTAATAAGGAACAGTAAACATAACCCACTTAGAAGAGATGCAGAAACAAGCGCTACTCAGAGTGATTACATTTATCTTGCCCCCATAACTTTATTTTTAATTAAAAAGATAATACTTTTGGAAAGTCTCCTCAATCTTTCCAAAACATTTAAGTGTTATGTTACCCATTTGAAAATAGAACTGTAGAATTAATTTAAATTAATTGCTTACTAGGACTCATGGCTCTTTCTAGCTCACTAAATTGAGGTGCCACAGATTTGCCACCAATATGTGAAAGACGACGGGAAAAGCGAGCCCATACTGCACCAAACTCGCCAAGAACATAAAGGTTTTTGCTGAACAAAGTATCTTTTGCAGCAAACCACGCTGATTTTTGAAGTTTGCACCAGAGATCAGCTTCGGACCTGTCGTTTGGAGCTGCGGCATTAGCTGAGGACTGCCACGGGTATTACCAGCAGAACTGGCAAGGCAAAGGCCCGCTACTGCTTCAGCTGCGCCCCACCAGAAACTGCCAGTAATCAGGTTTCTCTTGGCACGGCAAAAAACAAAGGATCTAAACAAATGACCCGGCCTAATTATTTCACTGCAGAGTTGCAAGCACTCTTTACCAAAGGAAAACAAGAAATCCCCCACAGTAAATAACTGCATGTACCACATTTCTTTCAGAGCAGAGATGGATGGAGGGGGCTGAGAGAACCCAGCCACTAAGCAGGCTGTATCTTCCCAAAATGCAGCCTGAGCAGGCCCGCTCCTGTCCGCGGGAAAGGCGAAGAGCCAGGAAGCTCCCCAGGGCGCTCCCAGCCTCGCCTGCCAGACCCGACCATCCCGCTCACTTGAACAGAGCCGCCATCTCCCCCCGCCCCCTGCCCCTGCTCTCCCAGCTCCAGCATCTTCAGCTCCCAGTACGCCACAGACCCCCTCCAAACAGGCCGGGGCAGCCGCAGAACTGGTGGGCAAGAAGACGGGACCACGCTGTGCAAGGTACGGTCACACCTACAGCTGTGCGGGAGCACCAGCGTGCCCCACTGCCCCACTGCTCCGCCTCGCCCAGGGACCACCGAAACCAGGAGCGGGGAAGTAACACAAGCAGCGCCAGGACACAAATCCAAATCCAGGCTTCTGCTGCGGTCGTGCACCACGTGGGCAGCGCGCTGCTCCTGCTCTCTGCTCCAGATTTTCAAGTTTTCAAGGAAGAGAGCAAAGGAAGACAAGAAAGGGAGAGAGGAGACTTCTTCCAGGCTCTGGCCCCACCACCCACAGCTGGAAAGCCAGCTCAGAAGGTGGGCTTGTCTTCACAACAGAGTTGGGAACGTCCTGTCCTAGGGGAGAGCAAACAGATTTTGCAGGAAGGCATGAAAGCCACCAGGGCCTTCCACGGCTCCAGTGAAGGTCAGGTGAAGATCCAGAGCATTCACTGCCTTGTTTTAGGACTGAAACTAGACAGGTTTGGGTTTCACCAAGTGCGCTACCTTGAGAAGCGTCAGTGAGGTAACCTGATGTTTCTGAAAGCAACTTCCAGGAGGAAGTCCCAGGAACAAGGTGTGTTTAGTCTCTACCAACCGTAAATCCAGGTTGAGCGAGAGGATCTTGAGACTCCATCAAAAGAGAAAGCAGTCAGGGCCACGGAGCCCAGAGGCGATCACAGAACCAGCCAGCCCCGTGGCCGTAGGAGCGCGTCTCCCACACGAGCTAGGGCAGCTTACGGATGTCTTCTACCCGACTTGAAGAAACTTTTCAGGCACATGGAGTACGTAAAGCTTATGTACAGAGCCAGAACAGTTTACTGAAACATCTGATGAAGCCTCTCAAATCATAGTATAGCACATCAAAGGAGGAAAGGAGGACAGTTATCAAGAGGAAAAACACTGTGGGTTTCTGACAGAGCAGGCAACTGAGAAAGGCCCTTGGAGCTATGACTAGTGCTCGCTTGGAGTTATTCTCCCTGTAAAACTTCAGTCATGGCAAAGACAAACAAGCGCTAAACAAGAGGGAGAAAAGTGCTATTTTGTGTCAGCTTTCTACTGACATTTTCTTACCTTTCCAATAATGAAAATAAAGCAACCGGGACACAGCAGGGTACAATGTTTTTAAGCTGATCTTGTGATTCCTCCAAACCAATACTGATCAAGCCAGTAACGATCTCGGCACCCCTGAAAGTTTTGTTGTCAAGTTCATATTAACTCACTCGGACGCTTCACAGCCTTCCCACTCCCCAGGATCTGTTACACACTGAACATCCACGGTTCTTCCCTGGAAGCTGGTATTTGTCAAAAAGATACAACAGTTTGTCCTCTTCTAACTTCTGGGGTTTCTCCTATTACAGCATTTTTCATTTCTTGAAAGTTACAGCAAAGAAGGCCTACAGTTTTTACTTTTCCATTAATTTCACCAAGAACATTTTTACTCTTTTACTTGAGAAGCTGTGAGGAAGCAGTGGCTTCTCTGTATCAATCTGCTGTTCAGTAAATGTCATCACTTTGCCACAGGACAGAAAGAGGCATCCTACTGAGGATGTTTCACAGCCTCAGTTTGCAGGGTTGAGTATTTTTTTGTTTTATATTCAGAGACACAACCTGCCAGGAAAGCCCCAAGAATACAGCACCACCAGAACCACATTATCTCAAGAATGACTATTTATTAGCCAGCAGTCACACACAAAATTAACAAGCTGGGGGAAAAAAATAAACAAAAATCAGCTTTGTTGAACTCCAGTAACGACCAGTTACTCTACTACAGCAGCGGCTAGACGCAGACCACGACCCATCTGCAGTGCTCTGTCGAAAGCAGCCCTTCGTACATAATTACCAAGCA